TCTCTCTCTCTCTCTCTCTCTCTCTCTCTCTCTCTCTCTCTCTCTCTCTCTCGTCTCTCTCTCTCTCTCTCTCTTCTCGCTCTTTCTCGCTCTCTCTCTCTCCCTCTCTCTACCCCTCTCTCGCTCTACCTCCCTTTTTCTCTCACTCGCGCTCTCTCTCTCTCTCTTTCCCTATTTCTCTCTCTATCTACTCCCCTCCTCTCGCTTCCTCATGGTTTCTTTCGCTATTACAGGTGTGGAAAACGCTGGAGAGTACCGAGTCAATCCTCATGAACATGATTAACGTACCCGACTACGACTGCTCGTCCTACTTCTCCGGCAGCAGGAAGTGTGAGCCACCCCCCAGGAATCGGGACCAACGACTAGAGACAGAGAGCTTCTACCTGAAGGTAGCCTTGATCATCGTTACTGTTTCTAGCGTTTGAGATATATATTTATGTTGTTATTTATAGTATTGTATATTGTGGTATAGTGTAGTGTGGCGCAGTGCGGTGCGGTGCGGTGCGGTGCGGTGCGGTGCGGTGCGGTGCGGGTTAACGTAAGGTAACGTGACGTGACGCGACGCGACGTAAGATAACAAAACATAATATAATATAATATAATATAATATAATATAATATATTATCATTATCAATATTATAATCTATGAGATTAACAGTAAATATTGACCCACTACTAACATAGAGGATAATATTTTTACATCAAAATATATATTATAATATACATACATACGTTGGTATACACTCTAGTTTTTGTTAATTTTGTTCTTAAACAGAAGTTTCACGAGTACCTACGAGGCAGCAGCTTAATCACGCGCTTACTGGCTAAGCGTGACCTAATCAACTGCCACCTGTCGGACAGCGAAGTAAGCTCCCTGGGATCTCCGTTCTCTCGGCCACCTAACTCGTCGTCGTCGGCGAAATCCCGGAAGAGGAAGCAGTGGAAAGTTCCTGTGGAATGTCGACCGAAACTTTTCGGAGGCAGCATAGCTGAATACGTGGACGTACGTTATTGTCACGTATATATTACACGAGTGACGTTAAACAGTTATTAATGATTCGATGCAATGTATATCTATCTATCTATCTCTATCTCTCTCTCTCCCTCTCTCTCTCTCTCTCTCTCTCTCTCTCTCTCTCTCTCTCTCTCTCTCTCT